GCAAACATGACGCAGCAGTGACTTCCCTTTCAACCACAAGCGTCACCTGACCCCCTCAAATGTTTTGGTTTTTGTTTTGTTTTGCCTGAAAGCTGCCCAGAAATTCACACAATGACTTGCTGGAGAGCCTTGGGTTGTCCCTTGAGCTCTGCTTTGGGGGCAGAGATGAGGGCAGACAATGAGGGCAACATTCCCCAGTATCTGTATCTGTAACAGCTGCATCTGGTCTAGCACCACGTGTCATTTCTTGGAAATAGACTCTTACAGAAAGACCTTTTAATGGTATCCCCAATGATCTCATGTCTTCTTATGGTACCTCCAGAAGTCCTTGCAAAGTAGGACATGGATAGATGCTCAAACTTGCCTTGAGCTACAGTTTTTAGACTGAGTTAAGCTCCACGGCGGCAAYTTTCTGCTGGTTAATCACCCAGAGCAAAGTACAACTAGTGCAAAGCAAATACTTTTTTCCAAGGACTCGCTCTTTGAATTGAGAGTCTGTGGAACAACCAGCCCAAAGTCACCGCTTTATCCTGATGGCTGCATGGGCAAAACAATCTAATGAACCTGGCAATGAACTTGCAAATCAAGAGACCCCCCTCCAACAAGTTGGGATGAACGGGGAACCAGGGTTACCTACATAAGACCAGAATCACGTCTCAGCACCATGATAAGCCACTCATTCTGATAATCTTGAGCAGTTTCACCTCTGTCCCTAGCCATTGCAGACAGTCTTTTATCGGTAGTTGATATTTTGAGCTTATTTCACATACGATTTATCAGCAAAAAGTTACATGGTTTGACTCTTCTTTATTGTACTTTCCAATTACTGCTCAGCAGAGCCACATTGGAAAGAAAAGACCCAACTGTGCTGTAATTTACTGTTCACAGTATATGATTAGAAGATTTAGTACTGATTACACTGGAGCCTTGGTCCAAAGCAAGATTGCAGTGAACTGCAGAAGGYTGATGTCAGACTTCCCAGCTTTCCAGAGGAAAAGGAAGGCGGGAAACAGAGACACATAGACAGCCAACCCCTGGGAAATGAGGATGTGAAACTGTCTCTGCCAGGTCAAGCCTGAGCTTCTTAAGGGAATGAGCTTTAAGGTGRTTTCCAAGGAGGAAACAGTGGGAAACTCAGTAGTTTCCAGAGAAAACAGAGCATGGCAACACATGAGCTCCCAGGGCCACCATGACTTTCYTGGAAAATGTCCATGAATGGTCCTTCTGCAACAGGGCCCACAAAGCTCCTTACATTGAAGACCAGGTGCCTGTGGATCCCTCCATCAACAATGTGAGATGGGCACCGCTGGAAGTGTGGCATGGACTGGTTTATTCTCATTGCTTCTTGCCACTGCTGGCCAAGGAGCCAACCTTGGGACATGCCGCAATTTCGGCATTACAGGAACTCAACCAGATCAAGAGCAGCCACATAACAGCGTTTCTGACAAATTGCCTCCAGCCCCTGGAGCAGAGTTCATGTCAGCCTACGTGTTTTAGRCTGGCTCTGGACCCGCGTGGAGCGAGCGCTGCAAAAGGCTCCGGGCGGCCGGGAACGAGCACGGACGGAGCTAACGGGAGCAGACTGGAAGGAGCAGGGCAGGTTGACTCCAGGTCAGTGCCTGGCGGTAGCTTTTCTGAGCCCCAGCAATGGGTGACAGCATTGTCCAAGCCAAGGAGAATTTCTTCTCCTTACCTTAACCCCCAAACTCTGCTTTTGCCAGCAATGATGTACTTCCTATCCCAGCCACGTAGGTGTTACTTTAGGAGTACAATATTTTAATCCTCCTTTGCACCATTTTCTTTCCAAGGAAARGCAGAAAGGTCCCAGGAGAGCTTCATAACCACAAACAGAAACACTGAGAAATGGAAAAGTTAAATGATTTGGTTGTATCTCATGATGTGAGCAGAGACACGGAGCAAAATCTCCAGGTTTCAAGGTTTTAACCTCCAGAACACGCTCTACCTTGCTTAAAAGTGAAGAAGAGGGCTTAAGAGTGAAAACATCCATAAAACATGTCAAATGCCCAATCTTTGCCAGGTCTCTGGTATGGCCCTGTGATGCTTTGGCAACAGGAATCAGGGCCAAAGCCACCAGCTCATCTCCTCTGCACAGACAGCTCTTGTCTGGTTGCGGGTACAGCAGGGAGCCTCAGGAGGGAAAAGCGTTGAGAGCCCCTGGTGTGTGCTATCCTCCAGAGGACAAGGCAGCTCACGGCCAGCTGCAACCCTCATGTGGCCATCAAGTCCCATAGCTCGTAGGTTTGAAGGGATCTTGCCAATCTAAGATGCTGCCCCATTCCAGCTGACAAACGCGACGAAGATCAGTGGAGTCAGAGGTCTGTTTTGCAAAAAAATAGCAGGTTTTAGCCCTCATCTGCAGGGCCTCTCATGTCGTGATCCTCAGCAGGTGACCAAGACCTGGGCAGGAGTGCTGGTCTTCGAGCCTTTGACGCAAACCATCAGCACTAGTTGGGCCACTGGACCATAGGAAAGAAGTCCTGTGGTTATCAAATGTTTCAAATCTGTTGGCATTGAGCGAGAAGGAAATGGGCCAAACTGTARTGCAGAAGAAATTGCTCTGACATCTGTCTTCTCAGGCTTCATTTTAGTCCTCTGCAAAAAAAGAATGGGTACAGATAAGAGGTGCTCAGCTTTTGATGCTGAACCCACTTTAAAAATGAGACAAAAGGCTTGTATCCAAACCTCTGGTGCTAGCTCCACATCTGACCAAAAGCCATCCTGGATCTGCTTCACGGGCTGGAGGACATGACTCCAACTGAAGGCCCGGACTGTTGAGAACAACCCAAATATTTCCAGTATTTCAGCTGATCCCATTCAATGCTCCTCTTCCAAACCAAAGGTCACAACATGGAGCAAACCTCATCCAGATGCTTGCAAAGCTTCAGTTACCATAATGTCCATCAAACGTGATGGGACAGCAATAGTGATGAAGCTGAATTCCCAGGATCGAAGCACTTTGCAGGGACAAGTCCACAAGCCCATCCAGATGTCATGCCTGTCTGAAGCCTCCAGGATTTGTAGTAGTTTCCTCTTAAGGAATGTCCTCATCCATGAACGGCAAGGGTTGCACCAGTTCTCATTGTCTTCTTGCCGTCAGAGGACAGAGSGAGAGTGGGATGTGGCACAGACCGCACCAGCCAAAGCCTAAGGCAGGGTGAGAAGGATATTAGAAGAAACCAAGACCTGCATTTCCAGAGGCTCATTAATAGTGCGGGAGATCGAAAGAAGAAAAATAGGAAGCAGTTGCAAAAAACCTGCAAGGTTTCCCCTCCTGTTGAGGAAGAGACTCAGTATTCTCATGACTTTGAGCATGTCCTGTGATCCGCACCTTCATCTCATTCCAATAGGAGAYGTCACTTAGTAGCAAATGAGGTCAAAGATGGGCAATAACAAGCAAGAAACCCAGCATATTTGGTGCCAACACTGAAAAGGGATTGCACACCACATTTAGAGGTATCTCACTGCCAACTGTAACTGCTCTGCTAGACCCAATCTCTGCTAGACGCAATCTCTTCCATAACAAACCCTGTCTCTACTAGACTCTGTCTTTGCTAGACCCTGTCTTCTGGACCCCATTCACAAACCTCATCTCTACTAGACCCTTTCTCTGCTAGACCTCATCTGCTAAACCTCATCCCTGCTAGACCCCATCCCAACTAGACCCTGTCTCTGCTAGATCCCTCTTACAAGAGCCTCAAGCATCTCCTACCTGCTTCCACCTCTGAAAAAGCCACTCCGCACAGCCTTGGATCAAGTGTACATTTTTATTTTTTAATGGAACATAAACTCCTTTAGAAAAAAACATTCATCTGGATGATAACACCCATAGAAAAAAACACCAATCTCGTGTTCTTTTTTTTTTTAATTTGGCATTTGTTATTTGCATTTATATTAAAGCAAAGTGCATCTTTCTTATTTTTCTCGTTTATACACATTGCACAATACATAAATAATGATGCTTATAAAACGTCTTTATATTTACAAGTAATAATATATTTATATATAACATAAAATACATTTTTTCTTTAATAAATCTCAGAGTTTTTTTAAGGAGTCCTTTTTCGTTTGTTTTATTTTCAAAGCACTACGATGCTAAAGTTCCAACGAGAATGCTCTCTTGTTCATTTAAACCTTTATATTTAGAAAAATAGCTTATGTTAAGGTCTAAACATGCTCATTGAGCTAAGAACAGTGTAAAAGTATCATACTTGTGTATGAATTCAAGAAGAAATGAAAGCACAACTGCATTTCCAGATACGATGGTACCGGGATTACCTGATCTAAGCAGGTTCCAACAGACCAACTATCACGAACACTTTTCTTTTAACTTCTCCCCTCATTTGTTTTCCTTTGTTTTGTTTTGTTTCGTTGTTTTTTTGTTTGTTTTTCTTAGGCTTATGTTTCCACCACTTTGCATCTCAGCTCAAATTGCAAAGCAGGGGCTGGGCACGCTCTTCTCCACTCTCTTTTTATATTTTTCCTCCTCTCCTATTGATCCGTGACAAAAAACCAATCTGGGAAAGGAGAAGCGTCGCCTCTCCCAGTGCTCCCGCGGCGCCCGGGCAGCTCAGCACCACGGCAAGGTGGGAATGCCATGAGCTAGATGCCTCAAAAACACATTAAATCAAGAAAAATAAAAGGGAAGAGCAAAAAAACCCGGATTTGCAAGGTTTTGCATGACCGGCATCCCTGGAAGAGGGTCTCGGCTTGGCTTCAGGCGCCCTGAGCAGGCGGCAAGCGGCTCCCGAGCGCTCCGAGCACATCCAGGCATCGGAGCAAGGAGGCATCGACCGTCTGCAACCCGCCCGGCCCTTCCCGCGCCCCCTCTCTCGCCCTTCTGAGTTATTGGTCATTCGCGCTTTTAAAAAATAGACAGAATTTATCAAAACGCCAAGGCAAAAATCTTTCCATAAGCTATTTCTCAAAACAGGAGGGAAAAAAAAAAACAAAAAGAAAACAAATGAACAAAACAAAACAAAAGAGAAACAACATCAACAACAACAACAACAAAAAAGTTTGCATGAAAAGCAAGCACTCAGAAGGAAATAATAGCAGCAAAGTAGTATAGATGTCATGAGTCCACTGTCTCGAGTCACCGGTTATTAAAAATAACCTCCAACCAGCACGGGCAACTGCTGATGAACTGTCTCGTGTAGCACTGGCCCCAGCCTTTCACGAAGCTGATCTGCACGGTGAAGCCGGTCCATGGCTGCTGCATGAACTCGTGGTCGTTGGGCCGCTGCAGGCTGTAGGCCTTCTCGTAGTCGAACGCCTTGATGGAAAACCCTGGGAACACTTTGTGAACCAGCAACGTCCGCGAGTCGGGGTTGTCCAGTGTGGCCGACTTGATGAAGATGGGGTAACTGCTGCGGTTGTAGACCCACACGCCGTCCACTTCCTTGGTGAGCTGGATACCGTATCCGATTTTGCTGCGCACCTTCTGCACCAGCTGGCTCTTGTTGTCCGAATTGAGCTGGCCGAGGCAGAAACCGTTCCCCTGAGGTAGATCATAGAAGATATCCAGGGAGGGCTCTTGGACAGAATACAGCCGACCCACGCGCGTCTTCTCTTCCCAGTATGCCACCACGCACCAGTGCGACCGATCCCCCGGCTCCTGAAGAACTTGGGAATCTAAAAGGGAGAAAAAAAAGAGGAATTGAAGACTTTGAAAGCAATGATGGGATCACACATCAACATTTTGGCCATGGTCTTCACAACCCTTCCAATGCACACGCAAATGCCCTCATCCTAAACAAGGTTTTCAGAAGAAGATGCATTAAGATCCCATCTCAAGACCATTTCCACCAGCCCTGGTCTTGGGAGTCCACCCAACTTCTTTCAGGTCTGTCTCCAGTCCAAAATCCCACCAGCTGCTTTCCGAAGTGCCTTCAGACCCAGCAGCCCCCTCTGAGGCCACCGTTGTCCTAAGGGAGCTGCCAGACACAGGCATTGGTGTCTTCCCAAGCCTTCCAGCTCCCACCAAGGAGTAAATTCAGGCAGGCAACTCAAGAGCGGAGCTGCCAGGCCTTTTTCCACAAGGAACATGAGTTGGCCGGGACGAGGGCAAGTCCCATGCACTCCACATTCCCAAGAAAGCCACACTTAATTTGCTATATGTCCATATTTACTGCAGTGCAGCTGCAGCAAGGCTGCAGTGGTGGGGCAGGCACCGGAAGCCTTGCCATTTGTTAACAAAAATGGCAAAAAGAAAGCAAAAAGTGCCAGTTTGCTCTCTTGGCCCTTCTTCCCATCTCTGCTCTTCCAGCTGCACCTAAGCAGCGAGGTCTGGGCATGAAACCAAGGGGGAGGCGAGAGAGAAAACAACAAGAAACGGGAAAAACCCTGCGCTGCTGCAGAACAGGCACCAGCCCCACGCTGCCAAGTCAGCATCTCCAGCCTCCACGGGCATGTTAAGACCTGGGAACCCATTAACCTAATTGTATATATAAAAAAAGGCAAAAAACAAGCCGGGACGGCAARGGAGAGAGGACTCCTAAAACCATCCCGGGGCACCCGGATGGCAGGAGCAGGTTGGGGACCCAACCGTGCCCACCTGGAAAGCAATAGGAGCAAACGGATGCTGAGCACCAACGCTAAAGTCCCAAAGCGAGCCCAAAATGAGCAGGGAGCATCGCCTGGCGCAGCTCACCGGCTTGTACCATTTCTGTCCTTTTTTTTGCTATGAATAAGCCCATTTCCCTGACATGGGCATTTTCCTGAAGCCCGGGCGCTCCGCTCTAAAGCGCCTCTTTAAAAAGAAAAAAAAAAAATAGAAAAAAACAGAAAATCCCCCGCYGCACACTTTTAATTTCCTCATTTCCATGCCAGCAAGGAAAATATTTCTCCGCTCGCTGGAGGCAGCTACTAAAAATGGGCCCGGCCGCGTATTGACGCCGGAGAAGGGGCCGGCCTGGGAAAGCCTCCGCGCGCTCCGGCCGCTCGGCCTCCCCCTTCCAGCGCCTCCCGCCACTTTGTTCCCTGCAACCCTCTCCTGCTGAAACCTGGCACCGAACCCGCCCCGCGCGGATAAAAAAGGCAGAGCGGGAGGGAAGGGGGCGGCGCGGGGCCGGGAAGCGGCGCCTTTCCAGCCACCCCGAGCCGAAACCAGGGCGCTGGCGAGGCCGAGGGGAGGCTGCTCTGTTTTTCCAGCCTTTTTCCCCCTCAATTCGGGGGCCGGAGCGAGGCGGGAGCGCAGGAAGGCCGCGGATGCGGCGGCGCCCGCTCCCTGCGGGAACGCCGCGGCTTCGCACATCCCCGTTTTTCAAGCCGACGTCAGCAAAGCGGATTTATTTATTTTATTTTATTATTTTTTTTCCCCTTGGATTATACAAATCGCCAGGCCCGTGGGCGGCGCACCCGGCACCCTCCTCCCGGCCAGGGTCCATGCACACCAGGGCTCTTCCCTGGGTGCTCCCTGGACCTTGCTCCGCTCCAAAGCCACCGTGCCCTGCGGCCGGGCCGGCTCCCTCCCCGGCAGCGGGAATATTGCCCAAATAAAGGAACGAGCTCTGCCCGGCACGGAAAAGGGAGTCGTGTAAAAAAGCGGCGTGAAATCGTGGCCCCATCSTACCCGCTGCGGCAGCAGAAGGGCTGCGCTCGAGGCCTGGCGGTTCCAAAAATTCGCTATTTATATATAAGCACACAGCATTTTTTTTTTTTTTTTGGAAGGATATTTTAACTAGCTGCTTGTTTCAAGCGGAAAGAAAAGCCATGTTGTAAAAAAAAAAAAAAAAGAAAAAAAAAATATATCCAAGCAACCAACCTAATCAGAGCCTGCAATCAGCGCCTAGAGCTTGCCTTTTTTTTTTTTTTTTTTGGTGTTTTACAGCAGTTGAGGGAATTTTTGCAGCAGCAGCCACTGAGCAGGCTGAAACCCCATGCAAAAATTCCAATGAGCTTCTCATTTATTTTCTTTAGCATAAAAGTATCCCTTTTTGGGGCAGTGTGAAGCGGGGGGAAAAAGACTTTTTCACCTCCCGCTTGCGCCTGCCATAGAGAAGACCACTTAACAAGCAGCTCATTGCCACTTACAAAGAGTTATTTAATTGCCAGCGCATTAAGGGAAAAAAAGAAAAAGGAAATAAAATAAATAAATAATAATAATAAAAAAAAAAAAAAAAAAGCAAACTGCCTTGGCGATGAATGAACAGACCTTTATGGAGGGCTGGAAGTTCATGAATGAATCCCACTAGGTTGTCAATGACATGGGGTGACCAGACCTCAAGGACAAGTCTTAGGTAATAGGGGATTTTTTTTTTTTTTCCTCCTTTCCCTGCTCCGTGCCGGTGCCAGCAGGCCGGGCAAAGGTGCCAAAGCTCCTTCCGCTCGCGGGCTTGGGCTGCTGACGGGATGTCTGGTGCCGGAGCCGCGCGGCTCCGCGGGCAGCGCTCCGGCCCACGGCAGCACCTGGAAAAGGCCCAGCGAGGCGCCGCGGATGGTATTTAATGATATAAACCCGGCTTACGAGCCAGCTCTGAAGCACTCCTTAATTTTCTGCTAGCACGGATTTATTGCCATTTTTGCTCGCCTTTGCAGCCAAACCAAGAGCCCCACSGGGGTGAGACCCACGTGTTAAACTCGAGTTTGGACCCACGCTGGATTTGCACAAAATGCACCAGGAAAACTCACACAGGGCATTGCACCAGTGCCTATCAGCAGCAAGGAAGCCACTTTCCTACTCGACACGGAAATAATTTCCCTGATTTTGGGGTGAATCGAGCAGTTATGGAATGGCATCATCCACATGTGCACTTTTTCTCTCCGAGTTCGGGCGCTTTTATTAGCGGGTGGGGGAGGAAAGGATCTTTTTACATTCAGGAAGAAGTAAAACGTTTCAGCAAAAATTCAGCCAGGGTTTCTGTTTGAAGGGAGGGGGAAAAAAAAAAAAAAAAAAAAAAAAAGCCCTTTTGGCTTGAAAGAAACACGCCTGCCATAAATCTTAACCGAGTAACGAGCACCAAGTCGTTTCCATCCCTTCTATCCATCGCACAACACAGTCCCGCAGGGACGTCCCCTCGCGAGGCCTTGGGCACGGGTGCCTGTGAGGGAGACAAGTCCCGGAGCCGGGATTTGCAAGAGCCCAACGTCCCTGCTGGCTTCGGCACCAGTTTCTCCTGCAATTCTGGGACAAGTCCCCTTATTCCCTGCATTTTCCAGCCAGGAAGCGCAGCCAGCCTTCCTCCAKCACAGCCCCTTTGGCTGCTCCGCTCAACAGTGGGAGAAATGGGGGCTAACCGGATTAGTTTAGTTCTGGTCACACTTATTTTGGGGGGGAACGGGGCAGGAGATGTCACTTCTCCCTCTCCRTGCTGAAGCATGGCTAAGGCTCCCTTGCAGCACTGCAGCTCCTTCCAGGTATTCCCATGCCAGCCTTGTCGCTCTGCCAAGCTCTCCAAGGCACACGGGCAGGGAGCTGGGAATGGGAGGCGGGAAGGGGAGCTCTTGTTCTGCCCGGTTTTGTTTGGACACTGCCAAGGGTTTTCCTGCAAGGTCGGGACTGCCATCTTCTGCGAGAGCAGTGCTCCTGGCTGATCCCAATCCCGGCTGATCCCTAGCTCCATTGCTGCCTGTAGCCATCTCCATGCACCAGCTCTAAGCTGAAAACAGGAATCCAGCTCTGCTCCTCATTAGCTTTTTACACGCATTTCTACTGGAGTATTTCTCAGGGACAAGAAGACTATGTGCACATCACCCAACTTCAAGAGCACCCAAAGCTATTGCAAGACCTATGTGTTTTGATTATTTTTTTTTAATATCAGCACTGTTGACCCAAAGGACCTCCTCAAGCTTCTCCTGAGCTCCTCCCGCATGCCCTCCTTCTCTGCCACCTCCATGGCAGGACCCTGTCCAGGTGACCAACTCTGATGCAACGTCGGCTTTGGCACATCCCACCCCACGCGGTGAGCCAAGGGCAGCCTGTTTCGTGGTGCCCCTGTGGGGTCACTGGAGGCTGTGACACTGCAGACGTGACTGTTAACTCCACGCTAGCAGGGAAAAGCCAACAGAGGAACTGAGAAAGCCACCAAGTGCTGCGAGGTCAGGAGCACCAGGGACACCCTTTTCCCATGCCAGACAGAGACCCTCGGGGCAGCAAGGAAACATCATGGGCAAATGTGGTTGAGAAAAGCAGTGCAAACAGTGTGCCATCTCCTCAGGGACCAGCTCCAGTCTGGCCCCARTATCACCAGTAAGAACCTCTTTGCAGGAACCCTTGGAAGAACCTACGTGCCAACTGCTATTTGAGAAATGGATGGCCACGGTGAGGACACAGAGTGTGACCTGCAACCCCACCGCTAGTGATAAGCCAAGAGAAACTGGCACAGAAAAAGAGGAATTTTACCTCCTGTCTAATCTCTCTTGCAATTTGCAGTGTACTGACGGGGATGGGGGGAAGCAAACAACAAGTCCAAAACATCCTTCTGAGCCAAATTTTCCGGCTATGCTCTCAAAACACTGGAAAAAAAAAAAAAAAAAAAAAAGGCACAGAAAAACTCAATTGCAGGATACAGGAAAGGGCCTCTGGGCCTTCCATGGCATTTGTGGGTCATCTCCACATGCCACCCCAATGATCCCCTGCCCCAGGCCCTTCACAGCCAGCTACAAAGGTGGGCCAGACAACTCTAACCCCTGCT